AAGCATCATTTCTATTGCTCGGTACATCCAAACCCATCGCTTTTTTAAAAAAAAAAAAAAAACAAGAGCATTGTTCTAAATTTTATTATCTTTTCAAATCTTCTTGATTCACTAAAAAATATTAAGTAGTTTTTGAGATCTCGTCTCGAATTGTAAGCCCTGCAAACACGGAAATTCAAAAATTTTGGCTGCAGCGAGGTGCTGCCTCTGGCGGATTTAATTTCGCACCGGGGTAAGTAAAAATTACACGACTCGAGAGGACTGCAAGGCCAGTTATTTGTTTGTGTAAATAATTATGATGACAATTCCACTCATGTATAAATAATCCCATTGAAACTGTCAAAAATTGTAGTTTGCTAACGGATAAATAGGAAGGAAGAGAAAATATAACTGGATAAAAAAATCGGATAAAATTTCTGTTGATGCAATCGTTACCATAGTAACAATTGCATATTAAATTGGTTTTTGAATCATCTGTCAAATAATTGTGTCACAAAAATTCACAAATTCGATCATTTCAGCCTCGATTTTAACTTATTGAAAGTGTTTTGTTATCTGGGATAAATAAATATTTTGTTTTGATTTTACATTCGTGGAATTGCCGTACTAAATACCATTCGAGCTCAGATTTTGAGCAGGATATTTTTTGCTTGCTCTCTCATACTTACTTTCATGCAATTTATCTCGATCTGTTCCACAAAATCACTCGAGCTGCTCTCTCGTGATTTTGTCGGAACAGCTCTCGTTAAATTTCCTGAAAGTAAGTATTCGAGACCAAGCCAAAAAATATCCGGCTAAATCTGAGCTCTTATGGTATTACCTACGAATATATTTCATAATGAACTCAAAACGAACAAAGATTACTTTACTAGAATTCAAGAAACGAAAGAGGATATCATATTGCATTGTTTAATACAGTTAGTATGTAAAGGTTGGGAATAAAATCCATCAAAAATACAGGGTTGATTTTTTTTCAAAAAATCTCGGATACGTCGATTTTTGATTTTAGTGGCCGTTTTTTTGATAAGAATTTCATACATGTGTCAAAACTGACATACCAACAATAAACTAACATGTTTTGATTGTTGATTTGAACCAATCAGATTGGAATTACGTGATAATTTGTATTAGTGTAAATTATTGCATAGTAACTAATGCGAGAACTAGTGTTTTGACAATTTCTGACAAAAAAATTTAAATTTTTGATTCATGAAATTTTCTCATAAAATACAGTGTATCCACTTAAGTTAGCAGCATATGGGAAACTTTTTTATTATCAATTTTACGAAAAAAAGTTATCCTTTATAAGAGTTTCTACTTCTTGAAAAAATAATATTAAACTATTAAAAGTTGAAATAGCATGTACAGGGTGGCCCAAATTCGAGCCTCATCATTGGGATCTCGGAAACCGTAAGAGATACAGGGTCGGTTAAATTATGGCAAAGTTGCGCAATTTAATGACCAATAGAATGCCGTTTTGAAATTAGAAAAATTCCGTACACTTCCGGAGATATTCGGAAAAAAACGAAATGTTGTAAAATCGTTTTTATTTTTTCCTGGGCTTATTTGAAGAACAATTTTAAAATAAAGGTCACTTCATCATTGTCACTTTTTCCCCTTTAGAAGATGGTGCTACTAAATTTAAAATCCGACGTATCGTCTTCAGGGGGCCATCTTCAACTTACTTTTGTTAAATACGGACCTGGATTTTTTATTTGCGATTTTGTCATCTTTGGGCATCCTAAAACCGATAATGTTTATAATTTTTCAATAACACAATAAAAAAAGGAGGTCCGTATTTAAAAAAAATAAATTGATGATGATTCCAGAGGAACGAAACG